TTTTCTGCATCTATTGACAGGATCATATGGTTCTTATCCTTTCTTCTGTTAGTGTAATGAATCACATCAATTGATTTGTGAATATTGAACCAGCCCTGTAACCCACGAATGAATCCCACTGATTATGGTGGATAATTCTCTTAATATACTGTTGAATTTGGTTTGCTAGTATCTTGTTGAGAATTTTTGTATCCATGTTCATCAGGGATATTGGCCTGTAATTCTCCTTTTAGGGAAGTCTCTGTCTTGTTTGGGAATCAAGATAATGCTGACTTCAGAGAATGAGTCTGGAAGGTGTCCTTCTGTTTCTATTTTTTGAACAGCTTGAGAAGGATAGGTATTAACTTTGCTTCAGATGTCTGATAGAATTCCCCTGGGAGGCTGTCTGACCCAGGACTCTTATTTGTTGGGAGATTTTTGATAACTGTTATAATTTCTTTGCTGGTTATGGGTCTTTTCAAATTTTCTATGTCTTCCCATTTGAGTTTTGGTTCTGTGTGAGTGTCTTGGAATTTGTCCATTTCTTCCAGGTTGTGCAGTTTGTTGGCATATAATTTTTCATAGTATTCTCTGATAATTGTTTGTATTTCTGTGGTATTGGTTGTGATCTCTCCTCTGTCATTCATGGTTTTATCTATTTAGATCCTCTCTCTTTCCTTTTTGAGAAGTTGGCTAGGGGGTTATCAATTTTGTTTATTCTTTCAAAAAACCAGCTCTTTGATTCATTAATCTGTTCTGTTGTTTTGGATTATTATATTGTTTATTTCTGCTCTAATCTTTATTATATCTCTTCTGCTGGATTTGGGTCCCTATGCTCTTCTACTTCTAGTTCCTTTAAGTGTGCGGTTAGGTTTTCTATTTGGGATTTTTCTTGTTTCTTGAGATAGGCCTGGATTTCTTCTTATGACTGCCTTTGCTGCATCCCAAAGGGTTTGAACTATTGTGTTTTCATTTTTATTTGCTTCCATATATTTTTTAATTTCTTCTTTAATTGCCTGGTTGACCCTTTCATTCTTTAGTAGGATGCATGCACCTCCATGCATTTAGAGGCTTTCTACATTTTTCTTGTGGTTGATTTCAAGTTTTATAGCATTGTTATCTGAAAATATGCATGGTATGATCTCAGTTCTTTTATATTTATTGAGGGCTGTTTTGTGACCCAGTATGTGATCTCTCTGGAGAATGTTCCACGTGTACTCAAGAGGAATGTGTATTCAGCTGCTTTTCGATGAAAATCTCTGAATATATCTATCAACCCCATCTGGTCCAGTGTATCGTTCAAGGCCATTGTTTCTTTATTGATTTTCTACCTATATGATCTTCCCATTGCTGTAAGTGGAGTATTAAAGTCCCCTGCAATTACTGTTTTCTTATCAGTAAGATTACTTATGTTTGTGACTAATTGATATCTATATTTGGGTGCTCTCAAGATGGGAGCAGAAACATTTACATTTGTTAGTTCTTCTTGATGGATAGACCCCTTAATTATGATGTAATGCCCTTCTTCATCTCTTGTTACAGCATTAGTTTAAAATCTAGTTTGTGTGATATAAGTATGGCTACGGCAGCTTTCTTTTGACTTCCAGTAGCATGATAGATGGTTCTCCATCTCCTCACTTTCAATCTGTAGCTGTCCTCAGGTCTAAAATGAGTCCTGTATAGGCAGCATATAGATGGAGCTTGTTTTTTGATCCATTCTGATACCTTGTATCTTTTGAGTGGGGCATTTGATCTATTTACATTCAGAGTGATTATTGAAAGATACGGATTTAGTGTCATTGTGTTATCTGTGTTACTCATGCTTGGGGTGATATCTCTGGTCCTTTGTAGTCTTTGCTGCTTTCCACTCACAGAGTCCCCCTTAGGATCTCTTGCAGGGCTAGTTTAGTGGTCATGAACTCCTTCAGTTTTTATTTGTCTGGAAAAGGGTTTATCTTTCCTTCTATTCTGAATCACAGCCTGATGGATAAAAAATTCTTGGTTGCATATTTTTCCTAGTCAGCACATTGACTATTTCCTGCAATGATTCCCACCTGACCTGCCAAGTTTCATGTCTGCTACTGCCCTTATGTATCTACCCTTGTAGGTTAAGGCCCACTTGTCCCTAGCAGTGTTCAGAATTCTCTCTTTATCTTTGTATTTTGCCAGTTTCACTATGATACATTGTGGTGTTGACCTGTTTTTGTTAATTTTGAAAGGAGTTCTCTGTGCTTCTTGGACTTGGGTGCCTGTTTTCTTCCCCAGATTAGGGAAGTTCTCAGCTATAATTTGTTCAAATAAACTTTCTTCCCTTTTCTCTCTCTCTTCTTTCTCTGGAACTCCTGTGATACCAGTATTATTTCATTTCATTGAATCACTTAGGTCTCTAATTCTCCCCTCATGGTCTAGTATATTCTTACCTCTATTATTCCCCGTTTCATCATTTTCCATAATTTTATCTTCTATTTCACTTATCCTCCCCTCTGCTTCCTCCATCCTTGCTATTACTGCATCTAGATTATTTTGCACCTCATTTATAGCATTTCTTAATTCATCATGACTGTATCTTAGTTCTTTGATCTCTGCAGGAGTAGATTCTCTGATGTCTTATATGCTTTTTTTCAGGCCCCGCTATTAATCTTATGACTGGTATTCTAAATTCTTGATCAGATATATTGTTTATATATCTGATTCTCTAGCTGTCACTTCTTTCTGGAATTTCTTTTGAGGAGAATTCTTCCATTTCATCATTTTGGCTAGTTTTCTGTCCCTTATGTGTTTCAGTAGCTTGTTATGTGTCCTGTACCGTGAGCACTACTATATTAAAAAGGGAGGGGCACCTGGGTGGCTCAGTTGGTCAAGCGGCCAACTTTGGCTCAGGTCATGATCTCATGGTTCGTGGGTTCAAGCCCCATACCAGACTCTGTGCTGACAGCTAGCTTTCTCTCTCTTTCTCTTTCTCTCTCTCTCTCTCTCTCTCACAGAAATAAAGAACATTAAAAAAAATTTTTTTAAGGGGCCATACACTGTCTAGGGCCTGGCCTTTCAGGAGGTATTTTTGGAGTGTGTTGCATACTTTCTCTTGTGGTTGCTGTATGTCCTTCCTTATAGTGGTAGTTTGGACCTTCTACCAGGTGTGCTTTGATATGTTCATTGAAGTAACCTGGAAAAAAATTTAAATACGGGGTGGTGGTGAAAGAAGCCTTATCCCATATAAAGAAAGAAATGACAGGGTCAGGGGAAAGGAAAAAAAAAAATTGACCAGGTAGAGAATCAGAGAATCACGTGGCTTACTCTAGAGAGAGGGAGAGGAAAATAAAGAGGAAGGAGATACAGAGGAGTTGTGAAAAGGAATAGATTAAAAATATCTGCTTAAATAAACCAACAAGCAAAATAACCAGAAGAGAAGGGAAGAAATGAGAGGAAGGGAAAAAAATATATACATATATATATGAAATAGGAATTGAACAAGATTCAGTTCAGAAAATGCAAAACCACTGGACCAATATCTGATGGTGCCAGTGGCTGCACTGGTCTGGTGGAGGAGCTGTTTGGTTTGGTCAGTGTCCATCTTGCTCTGTTAGATACACAGTTACCAGGCACAGAGGGCTGTGGTTTGTTGTAGGCAGTTCCCGCCTCCACTGTGGGCCATTGTTCCCTGAAATCCGCCTCCACTGTGGGCCATTGTTCCCTGAATCCCCACCTTGCTGGTAATGGGGAGAAAAATGGTGACACCCCAGTCTCCCCTCTCCAGACCAAGTGTCCCAAACCACTCTGTTCAGGCTGTCCTCACAGTGCTGTGCAGGTGCGAGCAGGCCAGTTTGTCTCGCTCCAGTCTCCTGCGCCTCCCAGGCACTCCCGAGACATCCCTAATGTCTTAAGGATCCTACCCTGGAGTCCCAGTTCTGGGGTAGTGCCACTCCAGCCTGTCAGCCAACATAGGGCCTCTGGCTAGTGGGCGCCTGCAGGGTCTTAGGTCCTTGGAGCTGCCTTCTTCTCACGGCCCTCAGGGAGGGGACTGCTCTCTCCATCTGCACCTCTCAGCATGCCACCAAGTCCAGGGCTAGCTCCCCTCCTCCCCAAGCATATGTATGGAGCAGCAGGCCCCAGTCCAGAGGAAGCTCTACAATGCTGGAATGAGCTAGAAATTGTTTTTTTCTCTGTTTATTCCGTTGCCCTGTCTGTGGTTTTTCTCTTGTCCAAATACAATCCTATACTTCCACAGCCTCTCTTTCTCTTCCTTTTGTTTCTCCACAGAAGCAGATCCCTCCTCTCTGTGCCTACGACAGCCATCCATTTTATTGCTCCCATTTTCAGTCATGCACTTATGACCCACCAAGTTGTCCCCATGGGCTCCTGGAGATGTTTCTGTTGCTCTGTAGCCCGGATTCCTGCAATTCCAACTCTTCTGGCCTAAATACTGCTGTGTTTGAGAGACAAGGGAACTTTGGGACTCCCTACTTCTCTATCATGTCAACTCTCTCCAAGAGCCTTTCTTAAGTAATAAAGAAGTTTAAGAACAATAGAAAGCAGCACTTGGGTGGCTTAGATTAAGTGTCCCACTCTTGATTTTGGCTCAGGTCATGATCTTACAGTTCATGAGATTGAGGCCCACATTGGGCTCTGTCTTGACAATGTAGTGCCTGCTAGGGATTCTCTCTTTGTCTCCCTCTGCCCATCCCTTACTCCTGCTCTCTCTCTCTCAAAATAAATAAATAAACTTAAAAAAATTCTTCATCTAACATAGATTTTTAAAAAAACCCAACAAGTTAAATAAAAAAGAAAGAAAGAAATTGAAGAATAAGAAAGAGAAAGAATAGAAAGAAAAGAAAGCAAAAGAAGGAGGGAAGGGAGAGAGGATAGAGGAGAAAGAAGTAGGAAGGAAGGAAGAGAAGGAGGAAGGAAATGTATATGCTGTTAATTTTCTCTGAAATGGAGTTTCTGGACATTCAGAATGTATCAAACTTAAAATTGCTTATAAATGGACATTAGGTCATCACTCTGTTGTTTTTGGTTTTTAGGTATCAGATGCTAGGTAGGATCAATTTCCGTGAGTGTGAACCTGATGGATGGACCAATGATATTCCTATATGTGAAGGTATATGTAAAATTGGTTTATTCATATATTTTAAATATCTAATATTTTTGAGAGATCTTACATTAAAATATCCTTAAAGTTTATAATTACATATTTTTGATTCTAAGTATTTTTATGGCTTCTAATATAGTATAGAATGGATATCTAAGCTTTTTACTACTACACTATTTTGTGTTTCATTAACCAAATAGGAATAGTTTCATCTGATGTAATATATTCAAAGTATTAGAAATTAGGAAATCTGTAAAACCTATTTTCCTTTCCTTTTCAATTCTAAGCATGAGAAATAGCATAAGTATCAGAATTTCACCTTTACTAATGAAAACATACTCAGCCAATACTCACCCGAATGCAGAGATGATTGTCAAAAACAGCTGAAATGGAGAACAAGATTTAGACATCTCCTCTCTTGCATGGCAATGGAGATTTTCCTGTGGTCTTAGTCTTCCTGAAAAGAAGAAAGCAATAAGGAGGAGCTCTGCTTTTCTTACTGATCCATAAAGTCAAGTCAGAATAAGAAAATTTAGATCCTCTTTCCAAATTTTGGGCTAGTAATCCCAGTCTCGCTAGTCATCATGAAAATAAAAGAGATGAGTCAGAATAATCTTTCCTAGTTCTGTGGTGAAAAGTAAGTAGAGAGGGAGAGGGAGAGGGAAGGAGGGAGGTGAGGAGGAAAAGGGAGAGGGAGGGAGGAGGACGAGGAGGGGGAGGGAGGAGGAAGGAGGAGGAGGAAAAGGAAGGGAAATGGGAATGTAATCACTCAAAAGTCCTGTTACCTAAAGAAGAGAATTTATGGAAATGAGAGGAAAGATCTAAATGTTTTAAGGAACATCTACACTGAAATCACCTGAGGTGCTTCTTTAAAGCTGAAATTTTATGTTACTAAAAACCTACTAAATCAATATCTCAGGTAATAGGGCAGGGAGATAGCCATAGAATTTCCATCTTAATGAGCATCCTGGATGGTTCTACTATAAAATAAAGTTTAAATGCCATAACCTAAAAGATACTAGGAAATATTAAGTAATACCAAAGGGAGTATTCAAATTATTTTGAGCACTGTTGTGGAGAAGAAGGAAAATTAAGGACTATTTATCTATTTATCTATTGAAATAAATAGAATCAAAAAGTACTTTTGTACTTTTTAGGAATACAATGTTATATTATCCTGGGGCTTAAGTGAAAATTTTTATGTAATTATCCCAAGCTGTGTATTTTTTAATTATTTAAGAAACACGTGTTTGTTACTACAGAAAAGTAAACTGATATTCAAAGAAATATTTTTTCTTTGTCCACTCTCATAGAAAATCATCAGATAAGCTTATTGTTGTTTTTATATAAGCCTTCGTAGCCAATAAACAGGCTTATGAAGTGCTGCTTTAAAAAAATGTAGTAATTTTCTCCAGTCTTAACTTGCTGATGATTTTATACCTTTAAGTGTATGCATACATATGTTTCATAATAACAGTGTCAAAATCTATTAGAAAAAGTTGTATTTATTTCTTTTCAGTTGTTAAGTGTTTGCCAGTGACACATCCAGAGAACGGGAGATTTACCAGTAGTGCATTGGAACTAGACCAGGAATACACTTTTGGACAAGTGGTACGGTTTGCGTGCGATTCAGGCTTCATGCTTGTTGGGCCTGCAGAAATACATTGCTCAACAAATGGTGCGTGGAGTGGAGAAATCCCAAAATGTATGGGTAAGATACACTTACTATTCATGGGATTGGACAATCGTAGTTTTTCTCATGAAAATATGCACTTTTAAATATTGTGCATAGCATAATACTAATTATACTAATAACACTAGTGCATAACATTTATTTGTCAATTACTACTTGTCAGTAATTGATCTAAGTTCATTACATGTGTCATTCCATTTTACCTTCAAAATGGCTGTGATTTATGCACTCCTTTCACCTCTATTTTATAATTGAGGAAATTGTGGGGCAAAACAGTTAAATCTATCTTACGACAAGGTTATGATGGCATAACAGCAGAGTTAAGATTCAAACCTAGGTTATCTGAAACCAAATTCCATGGTCTTAATGATAATTAAATTGTAATTGGCGTCCATGCTCAAATAGAATAGTAACCATTTCTGCTGAAAGCTTTAATATTGTCCTACAGAACAGAATTTCTTTTATTTTGAAAAGTAAAAAAACATTATTTATTTTCACTGATACATCATGATGACATTCTGTTCTTGAATAACACGTCTAGATTGGGGTCCTATTTTACATTTGCACTGTGAGTTTAGATAAATATTGCAGAACTGAATTGAATTCGCAAAATAAAATTTGCCTTTTATAAAAGCCCTATAGGGGCGCCTGAGTGGCTCAGTCGATTGGGTGTCTAACTTTGGCTCAGGTCATTATCTTGCAGTTTGTGGGTTCGAACCCCACATCGGGTTCTTTGCTGCCCGCCCAAAGCCTGGAGCCTGTTTCAGATTCTTTGTCTCCCAATCTCTCTCTCTCTCTGCCCCTCCACTGCTCATGCTCTGTCACTCTCTCTCTCTCTCTCTCAAAACATAAATAAACTATTAAAAAAAAAATTTTTTTTAAGCCCGATAGTAAGCTGTAAGTCAAGATTCCTTTAGTTATAATATTGCTAACCAGTGGATCATTACCAGTCTGATGATTTGGCCTTTTATAATGAAACATTTTGGTCAATTTACTTAAAGTGCCATACTTCCTTTTACCAATACTTGTTTGGCAGATGTTTCTGCCATATTCATTTTTTTTAACAATATCTAAAATTCACATTTTCTTAGTCTAGACTATCATTTTTTTAAAAATTTTTTTATGTTTTACTTATTTTTGAGAGAGAGAGAGACAGCATGAGCAAGGGAGAGTCAGAGAGAGAGGGAGATACAGAATCAGAAGGAGTCTCCAGGCTCTGAGCTAGCTGTCAGCAAAGAGCCCAACGTGGGGCTCAAACCCACGAACCGGGAAATAATGACCTGACCTGAAGTCGGACGCTTAACTGACTGAGCCACCCAGACAGCCCTAGTCTAGTCTATCCTATAATGAACTGCTGAGAAAAGCATTTTTCTTTTTTTTTTTTTTAAATGTTTTATTTATTTCTGAGAGAGAGAGAGTGAGAGACAGCATGAGTAGGGGAGGATCAGAGAAAGAGGGAGACACAGAATCTGAAGCAGGCTCCAGGCTCTGAGCAGACTGTCAGCACAGAGCCTGATGTGGGGCTTGAATCCATGAACCGTGGGATCATGACCTAAGGCGAAGTCAGACATTTAACCAACTGAGCCACCCAGGTGCCCAGCATTTTTCTTCTTAATAACTCTCTAACAAAACTAGTTCTTCAAGTTAGTAATGGTCATCTTCAGCACAGAAAATACTCTGGGGGTTCGATGATGGGGTTTCCTCCTTAAAACTACATTTCTGAGCACCTGGGTCGCTCAGTCAGTTGGGCATCAGACTCTTGATATTGGCTGCATTTGTGACCTTCCAGTCATGGGATCCAGCCTGGCATCCAGCTCCAGGTCCACCATTGAGCCTGCTTGGGATCTCCTCTCTCTCTCTCAAAATAAATAAGCTTTGGAAAAAAACTAAATTTCTGTGGTTAATGAAACCTTACTGGAATGACTAATGCATAAGATACATTTTGAAGAAAAAATGAAACTTTTTCCAATGAAGTTGAGGAGGGGAAAAGCATTATCAGTCACGAGAAGTGCAGGGAGAGGAGGTACAAACGCAGTGAGGCTTCCATGAGCCTGAAGCTCCCCTGTTCCATGCCCTCAGAGGCCCTTGTGTAGGACACAAGAAGGAGAGAGTCAGTGATGGATTGAAGATAGGCCAGTACAAGGTTCTAAGGTGCTCCATATCATGCTGAAGAATTTGGCTTTTATTCAGATGGAATTGGGAATCGATGGAGAATTTCAGTGAAATCCTTCAATGGGGCAATGATAGCATAAGAGAAAAGGTCATTAAGTTACAAGCAGGAAAATAGATTACAGAGGTGGGAGAATGGGATCTGGGAAATTAGTTATTGTTGCTGTAATCCCAGGGGAGAATGTTTGAGAGAAGAAGGGGGCAAAAATGATGGACAGATTTATTTTTTTGAGAGAGAAAATTTGGGTGGATGGTGAAGCCGCAAAAGCAGAAAGTCAGTTATTTTTCAGGGATATAATGACAGTAAGTTAACTTTCTTGATAAAGTGTTTTGGCAATTCTTACTCTGTTATCAATTAACTAGAAAATAGGTAATTTTGGAAGTCATTCAATGAAAATATTGATCACACTAAGACTATGTATCTATACTCAATTTTATATATACACTTGATGAACATTTACTGGCCACTGTTTACTTGAAGAGGACTAATTTGTCTTGAAACCAAATAAAATTGGCAACATAATTTTCATTTATTTGCTTATCTATTTTTGAAAGAAAGAGAGGGAGAGAAAGTATGAGTAGGGGAGGGACAGAGAAAGAGGGAGAAAGAATCCCACGCAGGTCTGCACTGCCAGCGGGGAGCCACAGATGGGGTTCAATCCCAGGAACCATGAGATCATAACCTGAGCCAAAATCAAGAGCCAGTTACTGAAGCAACTGAGCCACCCAGGCACCCCTAGCAACATAAGTTTAATCAGAATTTTACCTTCTTTCAAAAATCAAAATTAAGGACAACAGATAAATTATTCAAGCGTTCAAATCGAAATAGAACTTTTATTTGCTTGCCTGATGTACCTAAAAGAAACAAAACTTGTATCTTTAGTATAACTATGTCGTAGACATGGCCCTTTAATATATAACAGACATTTTGGAATTTGATCCCTTATATTTAGAAATTTCATGCCAAAAGCCAGAAATTCCAAATGGAAGTGCTGCATCTCCGAAGAAAACTTACAAGGAAAATGAACGATTTCAATATACATGTCAAAAGGGTTATGAATACAGTAATAAAGGAGATGCTATATGCACTGCACTGGGATGGACTCCAAGTCCTTCATGTAAAGGTAATGTTATCTTTCTTTTCTATATATTTTGTTGTATGTTTTATCAATTCTTTTCATTTATATATTCCTCACAGTTAAGCAGTTTATTTTTTCTCACAATGAAGTATTAATGTTTACAGGGACCAACTATTGTAAAGACAAGATACTTAATGCTTTATGTGTGCAAAATTAATTTTAGTATAATTCTCTCACAATGAAGATAGACATAAAAGGAACAGAGGAGTTCAATAGCTCATTAGTAGTTGGTCTGTGGTCAAAAAGCAAGTCTAGAGCAGAGCCAGGGCAATAACAGGCTTCTCAGGCATGAGTACTTCTCAAACGGATAGCTCTTCTAAAGCCTAGCATTTAGCTTTGCGACATAAATGAGATGAATATCATATGAGGAAACCCTCAGTTAACAATGGAATTAAGTGGAAGTAACTGGAGATTTCATTAACCACAGGCGTAATACAAATCAGCAGTGATAATGATGCGGAAAAAACAAAAACAAAACCCACCAAACTCTTTCAGGCTTCCTATTGAAGGGGTGTTGTGCAGATCTAGAATCCATCTCAACTGTGCTTCGTGCCCATGAAAAGTTATGTCTGTAATATTGTGTTCTACTTGGCCTACCTCATTTTAAAAGAGATGGTTTCAAACTATCATGGCCCAGATGCAAAAATGTAGAGTTAAGAAATCATATTATTAGAAGAATAGCAAGAAGATACAACTATATCATGGTAACAGCTGTGTTGAGATGTTTACAAACATTTATGGAAAAGAATGAGTTAACTTCTGATGAGGGCTGCAGCAGTGAGTGAAACAAGTTACAAGTGCCATCATGCGTGAAATCAGAGGTTAAGCGGCCTTTTAAAAGGGTGACTTATACCTAAGTATCTGTGCAATTGTGACTGGGATCAGTTTCTTGACTTCTCTTTCTGTTGCTTCATTATTGGTGTATAAAAATGCAACCAATTTCTGTACATTGATTTTGTACCCTACAACTTTGCTGAATTCTTGGATCAGTTCTAGTAGGCTTCTGGTGGAGTCTGTCGGGTTTTCTATGTAGAGATTCATGTCATCTGCAAAAAGGGAAAGTTTGACTTCTTCTTTGCCAATTCTGATACCTTTTATTTCCTTGTGTTGTCTGATGGCTGATGCTAGACTTCCAGCACTGTGTTAAACAGCAGTGGTGAGAGTGGACAACCCTGTCATGTTCCTGGTCTCAGGGGGAAAGCTCTCAGTTTTTCCCTGTTGAGGATGATGTTAGCTGAGGTCTTCTCATAGATGGTTTATCTATACGATGGAATACTACATGGCAATGAGAAAGAATAAAATCTGGCCATGTGTAGCAACGTGGATGGACCTTGAGGGTGTTAATGCTGAGCAAAATAAGTCAGGCAGAGAAGGACAGCTACCATATGTTTGCACGTATAGGAGGATTAGGAGGAACTTAACGGAGGACTATGGGGGAAAGGAAGGGGGCATAGTGGGGGAGAGGGAGAGAGGCAAACCATGAGAGACTCTTGAATGCTTAGAACAAACTGAGGATTGATGAGTGTGGGGGGGGGATGGGCAGGGAGGAGGGCACTTGTGGGTTTGAGCACTGGGTGTTATATGGAAACCAACTTGACAATAAATTATTTGTAAAAAAAATAAAAGTAAAAACTTCCCTTTAAGATTAGAAAAAAAAAAAAAAAAGGATAACATAGATACAATACTGTAGCCCAGGGTGGGTAGGAAGATGGTGAGAAGAATTGAATTCTTAAGAGCTCTCTGAACTTTTAATCATATTCATAATTACATGTATGAACCTTCTTTAATGATCCTCTCTTACAAAACCTAGAGTTAGATTTTGAGTGATTTTGTTCTTTTTTAAAAATTTTTTTTGGTTGGGAGCACCTGGATGGCTCAGTCGGTTAAATACCTGACTTCAGGTCATGACCTTGTGGTTCATGAGTTCAAGCCTGGCGTCTAGCTCTGCTTACAGCTCAGAGCCTGGAGCCTTCTTCACATTCTGTGTCTCCCTGTCTCTCTCTGCCCCTCCCCCACTCATGCTCTGTCTCCATCTCTCTCTCTCTCTCTCTCTTAAAAATAAACAAACATGAAAAAAAATTAAAAATTCTTGACCTTTTTCTTTAAAGGAATCTCTATACCCAACTGAGGGATTGAACTTCTAAATCTGAGGTCAGGAGTCACATGCTCTACTGACTGAGCCAGCCAGGTGCCCCACCTCCCACAAAAACATTTGGGGTTGAGGCCACAAGTAGCTCCTTGGAAAATATATCCTCCTACAACTGAGTTACCTCCACTTTCAGGCTTGTTAAGAAAATATTTTAGAAAGAGGTTAATGAGCACAAGACAGCGATCACCACGTTAGACCTGTGATCAGCTGATGGTGTGTGGAGTCCAGCTGTTTGTCTTCATGGCATTGGTGGCTCCTATGCAAAGAAAGTGGGTGCACAAGTCCTCTGGCATTAACTTTTGCCATATGTGTTACTTACAGAGCCCTACTTAAATATTTAGGTAGTTAAATTATCCGTCCAGTTATCAAAATATAACTTATAAACCGTTTATTTAAATCAGGCCCTTTGTCCTGTAAAACATGAGAATAAATCACTGCAGGTTTCAGTGAACATTAGAATAAATCATCATTCCAGGTTTCAATGAAATTTACTTCAAAATAAGACATCAGAATCTGAATTCAATTTTACTTTGACATAGGACTCAGGAAAGCGTGACTGCTACATAGCAGTTGTCTAGTGAATTCTTTTTCTTGGTCTTGTAGCTACCTGCTTAAAACTCTTGCTTAGCACATATTTGTTTTAATAGTGGGAAATCTGTTTTTCCTGTATGTGTTGCTACAATTCCTAGGCTTACTTCTCTTGAAACTTGACTCATATATACCACATACATACTCTCTCTCTCTCACACACACACACACACACACACACTAAAGATCCCACGTTTATAAAACATTTTAGAATTTTTTTTCATTTTCTTAGTCACAAGTATAACTCAAAATCCATGACTATATGTCTTGGGATCCTTTCTTTGGGGAGAGAGATTCCAGGATTGAGGTGCACTAAGACTGGATACTCTCTTTCAAAAACAGTTTACTAAAGATCAACATAAATAGAGGTTCACCCCAAATTAGATACACATGTACTCTCTTTTATAACAGTGCTTAATTTTATTGAAATGTGTTTTACATTAACTGGATATGCAGATGCCTTTTATTAAAAGGAAATCCAGGGGCACCTGGTTGGTTCAGTCAGTTAAGAATACCATTCTTGATTTTGGCTCCGGTTGTGATCTCACAGTTTGGTTCTAGAGTTTGAGCCCTGCATCAGACTCTGCACTGACAGCATGGAGCCTGCTGTCTCCCTCTGTCTCTGTGCCCCTCCCTATGTGTGCAATCTCTCTCAAAATGAATAAATGAACATTTAAAAATAAGTTTAAAAGTAAAAGGAACTCTCCACTGTACCTCAGCTAATATATCACAGATGCTTCTCCTTATTTTCCTAGGACAATAGAAGGATCTACCTGCTGGTAATGATGAATTCCAAATCTATAGTTCTTGCTTTCTCCAAATCTATCATAAACTTGGAACCAAATAATAAAATTAAAATAACCTAGGATAAAATACTTAAACTTTCTTTCATTTGGATTATGATTTGTATGTGTCAAGTGTTTGGGGTTTTTTTTTTAATGTAACTCATTTTGAGAGAGAGCATGACTGGAGTTAGGGGAAGAGAGAAAGGAAAGAGAGAATCCCAAGGAGTCTTCACACTGTCAGCATGGAGCCGAATGTGGGGCTCAGTCTCATGAACCATGAGATCATGACCTGAGCTGAAATAAAGTGTTGGACACTTAACCCACTGAACCACCCAGGCACCCCTAAGGGGTTTTATTTGAAGGTGATTTGTCAAAACTTTGCACATCACCTTCAAATAAAGGTGCATCTAATAAGAAACAGTCTCTGACAACAAGTCATGTATAAGAATAGTTAAAGTACCAAGACCTGCTAAATAAAAGCCACTTTTGATCCAAATCTATCTGTTCTTTGTACAAGTCAGATTTTCCAATGATGAACAACATAGAGTGCTATCATAATTTTTTTTTTCTTATTTCAGATGCTTACTGGTGGTATCTAACAGTAGAAAAAAATGTGACCCCCACACATCCAGACATTCTCCAGTACTGTTTTGGATAGAAGCACATGCCCTAGCAATGTTTTAATAGCATCATATATTTTAATGGGAATTATGAAAGTAGGGAATTACAATTTATCAGTGAATTTATGTCCAGTGCTCAAAAGTAATCACCAGAAGTTCTTCTATTTTAATTATTTTAACAAAATTATTATTACAGATTTATTTAAAATTACTTAACAGATTCTCCAAATATGTTTTGGTTGGTCTCTTAGTAAAACTCTTGTTTTTGTATAGTGTAGCTTTTGACTTTAAAATTAAGTTAAGGTGTACCTGGGTGGCTCAGTCGGTTAAGTGTCCGAATTTGGCTCAGGTCATGATCTCACAGTTCGTGAGTTCGAGCCCCACATAGAGCTCTGTGCTGTTAGCTCGGAGCCTGAAGCCTGTTTCAGATTCTGTGTCTCCCTCTCTCTCTGCCCCTCCCCTGCTCATGCTCTGTCTCTCTTGCTCTCAACAATAAATAAAACATTAAAAATTTTTAAAAAATAAAAATAAAAAATAAAATAAAGTTAAGCCACACTATGAAGTAAAAGTTAAGATATAATAAACTGTGCTGCAATAGGCCTATGGAAATATGATAGAGCAGAATAAAGTGAGGAGAAAAAATAAAAGTAAATGAACACATTTAAGGCTCATCTGTGGGTAGTGTCAATTAAAATCAAGCAATGTAGACATACTTAAGATTTGTGATTAGGTGGTCATATATTGTATTCTTTCTGATCATTGCTAATAAAAGTATATCATCATATTTATACTTAGAGCCTTATTAAAGCTTATTCTGGAGGAATGAAGTACAAATTTAAGACCAATTAAAAGATTATGACAAAACCTCTAGGAGTTGGATGTACACAGTGTAAGCATGGTGTGAAGAGGAAGAGATGTATAACCAATAATTATATGATTATAGAATGTGCTGTGTGAATGAATATTGAAGTGACAGGGAGGAGGGAGGGTGAGGTAAATTTCCAGGCTCATATCATGAGATTTTGTGTCACAACTTAAAGTGTTGAACACAGGAGGAAAAGCATATATTGAGAAAAGGTTTGGTTGGCATATAGTTAGTTGGATATGCCTTTGAGTTATTCACATGGACCTGTCTAGTGTGAAGCTTCAGTTGGATATGTGGATTTGGATCACACTGAAGAGTTATTAGCATAATGTTGGTAGCTTTTTATCATGGTGGTGCCTTGATTCACAGAATGAATGTGAAAAAGAAAACAACAAAATCAAGGTCAAATACTCATGTAGAATGAACTGTTGAGCATAGATATTCATTCTTACAATACTTGTTGGGTCTTCAGGGAAGATATTTCTGAGGTGGTGATAAGAGTCACCAGGAAGATCTAGAGGAGCATCATTCAAGAAATAAGGAATAAAAAGTGCAAATGATACGAATAAGTCCAGCATGTGTGAAGACCAGACAGAAGGCTATTGTGTTGGTAGTTTAGAGAGTAAGTAAGACAGTGGTAGGAGATGAGGTCTGAAAAGTAGACAGGCCCTAAAATTAGAGTAGAGGAAGGAGGGCAGCTATAAATAAAATAAATAAAATAAAATAGGACAAAATTTTATTATTTTATTTTCAGACAAAAATAAGAAGGAGGAAAACATAAGAATGTAGGGCATTGGAAAATGTCAATAAGTCAGTGATCAACGGTGTCAAATATTACAGAAGGTTTTTATCTATTCAGTTCAATAAATAGTTAAGGAGCCCATAGTATATAATACCAGTCAGTGTGATATGTGCAATTCACAGAGATTTTGGATTTAGAATTTGGAGGACATTGGTGACTTTTGTCTTAATACCACCAGCATGTTGAAGATGTCAGAAGCCAGATAGCTGTAGGTTGAAGAATAAGTGGGAGGTTGAAAACTGAAGATATTATTTATAAGATGATATTTGAAGGATCTTGATTGTGGAGAGAATTATAGTATATTAACAACCGTGGAGAAAGGGATGAGAGAAGGAATTTAAAATTGGAGAAGCTTGCATATCCATTTAAGAGAGAATAGTAGACAAAATGAGAGAGGGAGGAAATATACAATGGTTCGTGGTCTTCGGAAGAATTAAAGTTTTGAAAAGCTAACTTGAAAATGAAAAAAGCCCCTCATCATCAAAGAGTATGGGAAAGGCTAATTTCAAACAGATGTAGTCAAAGTTAAGGACATGTTAGTAAGAAATCTAGGGAACCCACAGCTGGTAGTCTGATATTTTTTATGTGTGAATGCAAGAATTTATTTGTTGATGACAGAGCTATTGTGTTAGATGGCTTTTGAGTAAAATGATGAGACCATGAATCACTTACTTTGGTAAATGGAATAGGATTTAGAATAAATCCTATAGAATAAATGGATTTCAGGCATTGCTGAGTATCTACCATGGCACTAATATAAATCATTATGTAACATTTCTACAATAGTTTAAAGGTATGATATTTTGTTATACAAGGAATATTGCAAACTGATCCATTGGTGAGATATAGCAAAGTTGATGGAAAGAACTGAGAAAGAGCTTTATAAATTAAGATGAGTAGGTCATGAGAGAGCACATTATAGTCTGAAAATCAAATCCAACCTGTGCCCTTTGTGTAAACAAAGTTTTATTGGAATACAGCCATGCTCATTTGTCTACATATCTTTTAGGGCTGTGTTTGTGCTGAGTAGCTGGGACAGAGACCTTTCATCTGGTTCTTTACATAAAAGGTTTTCTCCAAATCCTGGACTAGGTTATTCTGTTATACTAATAAAAATGTATTCCAGGATTTCAATAGCCTAATAAATTAAACTTTATTTCCTATTTGTGCTCACTTCCAGTGTAGGTCTAAAGAAACTCTGTTCATTATACTAGCTGTAAGAACCAAGGGATAGAGGCATCACCTTTCCATGGCTGTCCTTAATCCTTGCAGCTATGGAAAAAAGAACATAAAAAGTCACACAATAGCTTTTTAAAACTTCCTCCCTAAAGGGAAACATGTTAGTTTATACTCATTTCCTTGACCTATGTAAATCAGAGGACCATGTCTAATTCTTGGCAGGGATATACACTCCTACTAGGATTTACACTCCTACTAAGTGTCTGAAAGGAAGAGACTTGGACCACCGTTTGTAAACAGTCCCTATGAGAACCACAGATGCCAAGGCAGTTAAAGAATAGTTGGAAAGAGGAGTTGAAGTGATATGTCGTGAGTTTATTGCCACATATAGAATATTATGATATATGTGATGACTTTGAAGAAAGGGGATTCAAGAGTCCAGGGGGCACAAATATATCAGATGAAAGATATAGTGGTGGGACATGAGTGATATGATGGGAAGGATATAAGACTATACTCATTTTAATCTGATTTTATGCTATCGTAGGGACAAAAAAATAATATCCACTTTCTATATTTTAATGTACTTGATTATTTTAATGAGTAGTGATTTCAACATCTATATATTCTTTTTTTTCCCCAGAAATCATATGTGCTTCTCCTCATATTCAAAATGGTGACTATACACCCAAAGGCATCACATACAGAAGTGGAGATGAAATCGCATATAATTGTAAAAATGGTTTTGATCCTTCAACCCGAGGAAATAAGGCAACATGTACTAGTACAGGCTGGGTACCTTCGCCAGGATGTACTAGTAAGTTCCATTCATATCTTGACCTACTTCTAAATTCTTAAATTATTGTCTCTTAAACAACAACAACAAAAATGGGTACACAATAAATCCAAATATTTGCCTTACTGTGTATGTAAAGCAGAGGCTACAGAGACATTCTTTTTTTTTTCAAAGTAGACAATTCTAAGCACAATCTAAACCACATTTTTGAAAATGAAAAGCTAGTTTTTGCTATTTAATGTTAAATAAGTGTTTATGGATATAAATTTCTGTAATGTAATTATAATATCTGAACTAAAACATTGATTTGTATTTCCCTCAGGCGAGTGTTGTTGATCGTCTTTTCATGTGTCTGTTAGCCATCTGGAAGTCTTCTTTGGAAAATGTCTATTCATGTCCTCTACCCATTTCTTAACTGGATTATTTGTTTTTTTGTGTGTTAAGTTTGAGAAGTTCTTTATACATTTCTCCAAAAAAGACATCCAGATGGCTAACACACATGAAAAGATGATCAATATCACACATCATCAGGAAATACAAATCAAAACTACAATGACATCACCTCACACCTGTCAAAATGACTAAAAATAACAACACAGGAAACAACAGATGTTGGTGAGGCTAAAGAGAAAGGATAACCCTCTTATGTTGTTGGTGGGAAATGAAACTGGTACAGCCACTTTGGGAAACAGTATGGAGGTTCCTCAAAAAGTCAAGCAATTATACTACTAGGTATTTGCCTAAAGGATACAAAAATAGTGATTCAAAGGGATACATGCACCCTAATGTTTATAGCAGCATTATCAACAATAACCAAAGTATGGAAAGCCCAAATGTCCATCAGCTGATGAATGAATAAAGAACTTGTGGTATATATTTACACTGGAATATTCCTCATCTATCAAAAAGAATGAAATCTTGCCATTTGCAATGACATGGATGGAACCAGAATATATTATGCTAAGTGAAATAAGTCAGCTAGAGAAAGAAAAATACCATAAGATTTCACTCATATGTGGAATTTAAGACATGAAACAGATGAACATGGTGGGAAATAGAGGCAAAACATAAAAGAGACATGTAACTATAGAGAACAAACTGAGGGTTGCTGGAGGTGAGGGGAGGGGAGAAGGGTGGGTTAAATAAGTGATGGGTATTAAAGAGGGCACATGTGGTGATTACCACTGGGTGATACATGTAAGTGAAGAATCAATCACTAAATCCTACTCTCAAAACTATGACAGTAAATGTGAACAAACTGGAATTTAAATAAAAACTTGAAACAAGCAAACAATTTACCTAAAGCAATTTTAGGTTTACAGCAAAACTGACAGGAAGGTACAGAAACTTCCTATACACTCAGTGTTGCCACACATGCATACCTTCTCCATTTATCAACATCCTCCCACCCCAAAAGGTACGTTTTTACATTGATGAGTCTGCATTCATCCATCATATTACCCAAAGTGAGTAGTTTACCTTAGAGTATAATGACATATGGCCATCATTATGGGATCATACAGAGGTTTTCACTGCCCTAAAAATCCTCTGTGCTTCACCTACTGATTCCTCTCTTTGCACAGTCTCCACAAATAGAATGTCATATAGTGGGGCTCATGCATCATGTAGCCTTTTCAGATTGGTTTTTTATACTGAGAAATACACATTGATGATTCCTCCAAGTCTTTTCATGGTATGAGAGCCCATTTCTTTTGGCTGTAAATGATAGTCCATTGCCTGGATGTATCACAGTTTCTTCATGTACTCATCTACTGGTAGACATCTTGGTTGTTTCTGAGTTCTACCAATTATGAATAAAGCTGGTATAATATAAATAAATAAAACATTTGGCAAGACTAGTCATCTAATACCTAATATATTAGTTCTTTATTTCTGTGTAACAGATTTCCCCCAAAATATATTGGCTTCAAACAACTAACCTTTATCATCTCGGAGTTTCTATGGGTCAGGAATTTGGCAGTGGCTTAGCTAGCTAGTTCTGAGTCAGGCACTTCTTGTGTTGCAGTCAGGATGTTGACCTAGGCTACAGTCACCTGATGGCTCAGCAGGGCTGGAGGATTTGCCTCCATGATGGCTGACTCATAAGGCTTTTGGCAGGAGGCTTCAGTACTTACCACCTGGAAATCTCCATAGGCTACATAAATGGCAGCTAACTTTCTCCAGAGCTTGTGATCTGATAGAGAGGTGAAAGCTTCCATACCATTTACAAACTAGTCACATACTGTTACTTTAGCCTATCTAGACTTTAGAAGTGAGTCTCTAAGTCCTGCATACTCAAGGGGAGGAGAATTAGTCTCCACTTTTTGAAGGGAAAAAACACACTGTGGAATTTTCTAAAACCATTCCATGTAACAGTTCAACAGGGTACTGTGTTTTATTTCTGGGGATGTTTCCTTTGCCCTTTTCCAAGTGTTTTCTGTCTCCATAATTGTATTCCTTTTCTTTAGACATCATAGTTTGTTGGGAAGGTGTACTACACTTAAAGTGGATAATATATGAATACATTATGGTATAAATAATAGACCAGTGGCCTCCATACTAATTCTAGGCATAACTCCAAAATGAATTTTCAAATCAAATGACCCTTAAAGAAGACCCTATCATCAATATAAAGCAGACTTCAATGTGTAAAACAATAATAATAATATTGATTGATTGAATGATTAAGATATAATTGACACATAACATTATATTAGTTTTAAGTGTGCAACATGAGTTGATGTTTTTATATATTGTGGAGTGATTTCAAACAATTATAGTTAAATCTGTCACCACATCATTTTAAATCTGTCACCACGTTTTTTTTCTTGTGAGAAGTACCTTTAAGATCTACTCTCTTAGCAACTTCGGAATATACAGTTTAGTATTAATAACTCTAGTCACTATGCTGTCTGTGCCTTACATCCCCATCATTTTATTATTTTATTACTGGTAGTTTGTACCTTTTGACCTGTCTTTACTCATTTCTCCTGCTCTTCATGCCTTGCCTCTAGCAACCACCACTCCGTTCTCTTTATCTAAGAGTTTGGTATTTTTAGATTCCAAACATAACTCATGTAGTATTTGTTTTTCTCTGTATGACTTATTTTACTTAGCATAGTGCCTTCAAAGTCCATCCATGTCATCACAAATGGCAACATTTCCTTCTTTTATTGGCTGAATAATAACCTTAGTTTCCTTATGCACTCATCTAGTAGCAAACACTTAGATTGCTTCCACATTTTGGCTATTGTAAATAATGCTGCAGTGAAGATAAGGTACATATATCTTTTTGAGTTAGTGTTTTCTTTTCCTTCAGATATATACCCAGAAGTAGAATTGCTGGATCATAGGGTAGTTCTCCTAATTATATGAGAAACCTCCATACTGTTCTCATAGTGGTTGCACCAGTCCACATTCCCACCAACAGTGCAGCAATGTTCCCTTTTCTCCACATCCATGCAATGCTTGTTATTTTATTTTCTTTTTGATGAAGCCAGGTAAACAAGTATGAAGTAAAGTCTTCTTGTGGTTTTGGTTTTAATTTCTCTGATGATAAGTTAAGCTGAGCATGTGCTTTTTGTGCTTTCTCATGTGCTTTCGTGTGCTTTTTGGTCATCTGTGTTTCTTCTCTAGAAAAATGTCTTTCCAGATCGTGTGCTCATGTTTTACTCAGGTTGGTGTTTTGCTGTTGTTGTTATTGAATTATATGAGTTTTTAAAATATATTTTAGTGTTCATAGCAGCACTCTCCACAATAGCTAAAACATGGAAAGAGCCTAAGTGTCCATCAACAGAAGAATGGATCAAGAAGATGTGGTTTATCTATACCATGGAATACTACATGGCAATGAGAAACAATGAAATCTGGCCATGTGTAGCCACATGGATGGACCTTGAGGGTGTTATGCTGAGCGAAATAAGTCAGGCAGAGAAGGACAATATCATATGTTTGCACGTATAGGAGGATTAGGAGGAACTTGACGGAGGAACAAGGGGGAGAAGAAGGGGGGCAATGGTGGGGGGAAAAGGAGAGAGGCAAACCATGAGAGACTCTTGAATGCTGACAAAAACTGAGGACTGATGGATGTGGGGGGCAGGGGGGGATGGGCATGGAGGAGGACACTTGTGGGGATGAGCACTGAGTGTTATGTGGAAACTAATTTGACAATAAACTATTTGTAAAAAAAAAAAAATTTATTAAATAAAAAAAAATATATATATATATTTTAGATGTTTCCCCTTATCAGATATATGATTTGCAAATATTTCCTCCCACTCTTTAGGCTGCCTTTTCAGTTTGTTGATGGTTTCCTTGACTGTGCAGAAGTAGTTGACTTAATGCAGTCCCACTTGTTTAGTTTTGCCTGTGTCGCCTTTGCTTTTGGTGTCAATTCTAAAAAATAATTGCCAAGATCAATGTCAAGGAGCTTATTCCCTATGTTTTCCCCTAGGAGTTTTGTGTTTTCAGGTCTTTCATCCATTTTGTGTTAGTTTTCATGTATGGTATAGATTAGTGGTCCCAGTTCATTCTTTTTTGTGTGGTTGTCCAGTTTCCTCAACGCCATGTATTGCAAAGACTGTTTTCTCCTCACTGCACATTATTGGCTTCTTTGTCATAAACTATCGGGCCTTGAATGCATGAGTTTATTTCTAGGCTCTCTATTCTGTTCTGTTGAGCTATGTGTCTGGTTGGATGCCAATACTATACTTTTTAATTACTGTAACTTTGTAATATAGTTTGAAATCAAGAAGCATGATGCCTCTAGCTTTGTTCTTCTTTCTCAGGATTTCTTTGACTATTTGGATTCTTTTGTGATTACAAACTCATTTTAGGATTGTTTGTTCTATTTCTGTGGAAAATGCCTTTAGAATTTTGATAGGAATTGCACTGAATCTCTAGATTGCTTTGAGTGGTATGAAGATTCTAACAATATTAACTCTTCCAGTTCATAAAAATAGACTATCTTTCATTTATTTGTGTCTTTCATTTATTTCATCATTGTCTAGAGTCTTCAGGAT